TACACAAAATTTTATTTATGAAATTTAATTTTACCAAAGTCACTGATTTCTTTTTAGAATATTATTGCTTTTCCTGCAAGAAATGATTTTTCATATTGTTGTTTATTTATTACTTTTTCTATTTAGGATATGTATATTTTATTTTACACAGCTTGTTACATTTCCTATTTAGTAAAATTTCTGGTAAGTCGATGATTCTTATAATAAGTTTTGCGAAGAATTTTGCAATGAATTTTATGAAAAATTAGTCTTATATTAAAAATAGGAAACAAATTGCATTCCAAATGTACAGGACATTAACAAAAGCACGCGTACTCCTATACTAAAAAAAAATTGCATTGCAATGGCGTGTGCTCTCCTTACTGAGAGAGATGCTAATTACTTTCTAATCATTTTTGATTTCTTATATGGAATGTCATCTGCTATACATAGGGTTCAAAATCGTTTCAAAGTGAAATGAAATTTCTCAAAAACTTCACTCTAAAAATATTACTTATTTAATTATAAACACGATCTTTTTAATCGTTATAGTAGTTTACTGACATTCGTTGTCAATAAAAAAAGTAAAATTTTGATTTAGTTTTAACGATTGTAATGATCAAGCATAAGTGTTTTAAAGGTTAACTAATTATATTTTATACAAGTTGAAAATATCTTAAAAATAATTTTTATAAGTTTTTTTTATTAAGTTACTATTATATGGAAAGAATGCTTTGTTTTTTATATATTCAAATTGTTGAGGAGTAAGATATCTTTAAATATTGAAGCCCACGTTTTCTGTCTCAGTAAGTATTTTTTTAAACGTATATAATCCTTTGCTAAAGTAAAAATATAGAAACACTTGTAATCCACTTGAAGTCATTTAATATTAGAACTTAACATATTTTACGAGTCAATTGTGTATCATAAATTTCAAATTTTCCTTAAAACGTTCCATGTAATTTATTTAACAATGTAAATAAATATTTGAAAAATTATATTTTAAATATTTATTTCTGATCAAATTTCTAATGAAAGTATATGCTTGCATAAAGTCGAAAATTATTATAAATACACAATATATCTTATAATTAACTTTTCCCATTTTTAAATAAAAAATTAAGATTTTGATATTAAGTCATTAAGATATTAAATACACGTTATTTGACATCATTTTCCCCCAATGATTCGCAAAACATTTTAAGTTCTATCACTAAATAATTTACTGCATATATTAGAAAATATCTGGACTAGTCCTATATGTATAAACAGAAAATTTAATACATCTGCAGCGGAACACCGTTTATGATCGATGGCAATAAACCGAGGTCCACTAGCATCGCGAGGTACATATTACGTTGGCAACCAAGCCTAAGCGCAACACCGCTGAACCAATAGAATTCAAGAAACTACTATTTCCAGTATTCGTTGGATCAGCGATGCCTCACTAAAATAGGATATAAGCAATGATTTTGTAAAGAATGGTAAAACAAATCCAACGATCTTCAAGCGAGCAACACCTTCAAATAAACTGAATATTCTCGAACATGAGTCAACTTCTTTGTAACCTCATTGTTACATATCCTATGTATTGTTCTGTTTGCACCTGCAGGGGTGAAA